ACCCCGGGAACAGACCGCATATAGCCATCAGCGGAAAAATGTCCTATAAGCCCTGGCCCAGTCAGGCAATGATGATGACACGGAACTGAAAATGCATGAATTGAAGGTACCTGGCACAACAGGGATGAAGGCCATGAACAGGATGGTATAGGAAAGAAGTTGCAGAAGAATATAAAAAATACTGTTCAATTTCCATAGAGTTCAAAAACAGGCAGAACAAAAGAAGTCATTGCTTAGGAATACTTATATAGTGATAAATGTATATACGTACATGTAATGTATATAACATGCATTATAACATAACATATTTACGTATACATAATATATAACAATATGTAACAATTTCCTGTGTTGTTATGCGTGTCAAATAAAATACATTAGAAATAAGACATATACATTCTCTATATATTTCATATATATATGAAACAAAAGAAAGTTTTATACATACGATGGAAGAATGATTTACACAATCATCAAGTTGATGGTGATTTCAGAGACTCCTAAGGTACTGATAAAGTTCTGTTTTTTAACCTGAATGGAGGGTATTTATGTGTTTATTTTATTATTTTAACTGTAAATAAATAACTATTTTTGCCCTATTTTGCATATAAAATATAGTCCACAATAACACATCTCAAAAGGGCGCCTGGGTGGCTCAGTCGGTTAAGCGCCTGACTCTTGATTTCGGTGTCATGAGATCGAGCCCCGTGTCCAGCTCCGCACTGAGCATGGAGTCTGCTTCAGATCGTCTCTCTCTCTCTCTCTCTCTCTCTCCTTCTGCCCCTCCCCCACTCAACATCTCTCTAAAAAATGAAAATAAATTTTAAACATTTTAAAAAATAAAGCAAGCAAGCAAATAAATTATAAGCCTCCATTGGAAAGGGAAGCCAAGTATATATGGAATATCTTGTGGAGGTGAACCAGATGTTCCCCAGGAACAGGAAGGCCTTCTAGAACATGATGCTAGGGAGGCACCAGGCAGATAAAGCATGGAGCCAGGGTGCACTGTTCTCTGGCCTCAGCCCTTCTTCTCTCAGTTCAGAGTTCTCAGTTCTGCACACCACCTGTCATCTAAATTACTTCCATGAGGCAGTGCTAGAGCTGAGGTGAGGACGTTCTAGAAAAGCAGATTTTCTCTCTCTGACAAAGGAGGAGGCATAGGAAGAAGGGAAAGAAAAACAGACTGTGAAACGACCTCATGGCAACATTTCCCAGGAGATCCCAGAGATGTCTACCCGATCCACTGTCGCCAGACCATTAGGGGGCTTCTAACTGTCACACAACTTTAGAGATCGCTGTCCTGAACACTTGTGCGGACAGCATGGCTCACATCTTCTCTTCTTCACTCAGAAATGCTCTGGAGCAAAGGCATCTCTGTTTTTGTGGCTCTTAGGATGGACAGCTATCAATTGCCAACTCACTTTCTAGAAGGATTATTCCAATGGCGACTCCCCCCGGCAATGCCAATGAAGACGCTTCTCTGGTAACTGAGCTGCTGTAATAGGTAGTGAGCACTGCGTCCCTGGGGGGGGTTAAGTAGGTGCGATGTGACTATTTGCTCACTCCCAGGGCTGCTAGGATCCAGAAGGAACTTGGACTGGTTTCAGGTAAGACTTGGGCATCCTGAAGGAACTTTCCAAGTCTCTGGGCCTTTGGCTAAGACTGAAATTTCTGGTTCCCTGGTTCCTCTTTGACGTACCCCTTCAAGCCTTCCACTTTTGCTCACGTTCCCAAGGTACTTGCATTATTCCTGGGACTGCCGCCATGCCCTGGGCAAGCTGAACAGGGGTGTTGGGTGTGGGGCAGAGCTGGCCTTCCCTTTGAGTGATGCAGGACGCTTGGCTCAGGGTGGTAAAGGGGACTCACTTGAAGTCACACAGATTTAGGTGCAAATCCCATCTCTGCCGCTTCCCAGTGGGTGCCTTGGGGCCGGGTCACTTTATCTCCTGAACCTCAGTTTCCCTGCTCTGCGAAATGGGGACCACCGTAGCCCTCACCCCATGGGGCTGTTAGATGGGATAAGCATGTAAACACTCGCTACAAATGTAAGTCTTCAATAAACAGTCCTTATTGATTTTTATTCTTTTGGGGTTTGTTCATAAGATGCTGAGGACAAGACCAGCCCGCGTGTGATGCTGTACGCAGCTGTCCACCCAATGGGATTTGAGGGTCCTTTCTCCTCCTACCTCCAAAATATAACTCCCCTCTCCTGCTATGCCTGCCACCTAAATACGCACCATTAGTGACCTCTGTGGAGTAAGGCAGGGTGGCAGATCGTACTTTCCAGATATAGTCACATCGAGAGCTCACACATCACCCACTCTTCCTCTGACATGACTTGGACGTATCTCCCCCTGAGAGGTGGGGTCTGTTTCCTCTCCTTGACTCTGGGTGGGCCTATGCCCATGGTGTGACACAGTGTCACTTCCACAACCAAGTCATAGAAGGCAATGCGGCCACTGCCCGGTCCCCTGGAACCTTCACACGCATAGTCAGAGCTGCCTCCATCCCTGGCTATGCCATCTGGGGAGTCCGGCTGCCTGAGGCCGCCATGCTCTGCGGAAGCCCAGAGATAACTCATGCAGAGAAACCCCATGCAGAGGCCCCAAGACCCCATGTAGAAAGAGGAACGTCCAGGCAGCCCCCGGCCGCCCCAGCCCAGCCACTGCTGAACCGCAAGCGCATAAGAGACCCGCTCCAGGACCACCCAGCTGAGCCCTTCCCGAATTCTTGACCGGCAGAAACCCCGATATATAATAAAATGTGGTTGTTTTGAGGATGACAGCTCCAGATACCTGATACAAGCACGAAATCCTTCATTCACAACCAACATTTCCATCTACGGTGTGTCAGACCGTGTTTCAGGTCCTTCTACCCTCGGCAATAATAATGACGGTGATAATAATACCAGCAGCTTCTGTGTATCCAGCTTTTGCAAGAACCGGGCAGTGGGCTATGGGGTTTACATGTATGATCTCAGTGCATCCTGACTACAGTCCTGTGAGTGCCCTGCAGGTGCTCTTCTTAACCCCATTCCCCAGATGAGGACACTGAGGCTCAGAAAGATTGAATGACTTTTCCAAGGTCAAGTTAGTCAGTAAGTGGCAGAGTTAGGATCTGAACCTGGATTGGGTGACTTCTGAGGTCCTCCTATGATGAGTCTGTGATGTCAAAATGGCCTTTCCCCGACTGGGAAATTGGCCCTAACCCAGAACACTGTCCACCAGAGCGAGAGCAAACCAGGGGGGCTGTGTCTCAGGCCCCATTTGTCTCCCCTCTCTGTCCCCCATGCTTCTTTTCCTGCCTTGGCTCTTTCCTGGGATCTCCGAACACAGGTTCTTCTCCCCATCCCCCACCAACCCCAGCTGCCCTGGGACACAAGGAGATAGTGATCTGCTCAACCAGCTAACCTAGGATGTTGACATTGAGTTCTTACACTGGCTGGGCCACCAAGTACCAGTCAGGGCCCCTCAGGGATGGACTTTGGCTCCAAACTCAGCAGTTTTGGAGCTACTGCCCAAAACAGCAGGTGGGCTGGGGAGCAGCTGACCCCAGAGCGGGCTCAGTCATTGCCCCACACAGACAGGAGCTGTGGGCGCCCTGTGCTGGCTGCCTGTACTTGCATGCAGGTGAGCTTGGCCTTCCCCCTGCTCTGATGGGCTCCCAGCTGATGGGGGATCAGGCATGTCAGTCCCCATGTTGCAGGATTCATGGAATAATCCTTCTATGGAGGGAGTACTTACTCAGCCTCCAGGCATGGGGCCCAGGGCTTTACACACAGTGTTGGATTTCATCTTGCAAGGACCCCATGGGTAGGTACTATTATCATCCCCATTTTTCAGGGAAGGAAAGTGAGGCTCAAAGAGTGTGTTTACCAAAGTTTGCACAGAAACCAGACGCCCTGAGATTCCAAATATAACATGCTCTGGACCACAGTGTCATCCCACCCAGAGTGGGGAGACGGAGGTGTATGTTCTCTTTGAAGGTAAGGACCCGGGGAGGGTGGGGGCGATGGAGGTTGGGGGGAAGGCCGTGGAGGTTGGCGGGGGAGGGTGGAGGACAGGCCTTTGAGGTGAGCCAGGCGCATGAGCAAGGGTTTGTGGGGGTGGAAAAGGGAAGTGTGGCATCCTGGGCAGGGACCTCAGAAGGAGCAGGGGTGCGGGCCATGTGTAAGTAGCAGGGTGTTCGGGGAATGGGGAGCCCTTCCCGGGCCAGGGCGGGAGGGGGTGGCGCGGGGATACCAGACGAGGTCAGAAAGGGGTGCGAGGGCTGGACGCTGAGGGGTCCCGAACGTCCGCTGGGAGTGGGGCCGCCGACTGCAGGTGATGGGGAGGCTGGGCGGCCAGGGAGCTGGGCGGAGGCGTCGGAGGTGCATTTGCAGGAGCGGGGGCGGGCTGCGAGGCTGCCCCGGAGGGGACGTCTGCCCCAGTTCCAGCCCACTGCCCTGCCACCACGCACAACGAAAGACGGCGAGGACCCGAACCTCTCCGGAGGCTGGGAATCGGGGAGGGGTATGAGTGCAGCTCCGACTCCCCTGTCTTGTCTATTTGCCATATTCTTCTTTTAAAAGCGATGCTACGAGGGGGAGTGCTGACCCTAATCAGGAGATCTCGCAAACAGGCATTTCAGGCAGGACGGCCGGAATATCTGTGGGTGAGGCGGGACCTGGGACCTTCTCAAGCGCCCCTTATCACCGCTGATTCCCAGAAGCGTCTGGAAATAAAACCCCTAGTTTCATCCCCTAACTGCCTCCTCTCCGGCCTCCTGCTGTCTTTACCCGACAGGTTTTAACTCAGCTTCTGCTTTAGCGGTACAAGCCGACCGACAGGCACCGGACTGAAAGAAAGGGGGCAGTCCCGGGACCTCGCGGGAGCCTATGCCTTTAAGGGTGGGGGCGGGCCCAGCCGTCGGGGGCGTGTCACTGGGCGGGGCCAGTGAGGGCAGGGCCTAACCCGGACCCGCCCGGGCCGAGCCTGGGAAGTGCCCTGGACTCTGCCACCCGCTGGGCCTCCGGATCGGCGGTGACGGGTGGGGGGAAGTTCGGGCAGCGCGGGCTGGCGGCGGGGGACCGGGAAGGCCGCGAGGCCCGGCGGGGTCGAGGTTCGGAGTTGGCGGGTCCGAGGCCCGGCTGGAGGTAAGGGGAGCCTCCTCGTCCGCCAGGGCGCCGCCTGAGGGCCGGCACCCGGACTTCAACTTCTCAACATCCGTCAAGGATTGGGAAACAGCACGTTGACGTTCCCCGGGGTGTCGTACCTAGAAAGAGCAGCCGCAGATGGGGTTGCAGCCCCAACTTCCTGTACCCGCGGCTTCCTATCGGGACTGCAGGTGTGTGCGTAGGGCTCCGGACAGGCGCACAGAAGGTGCTCAGTAAATGCTCCCTTGTGAACGAGTACAAGAAACAGGCAGCCAATAGAGAGGAGGCACACTAGAGATGCAGGCATTTATTGAGCTCTTGTTGTATGCCCCAGTGGGCTAGCATGTGTCTCCATTTTGCAGATGCGGAATCAGAAGCTCGAAGAGGTGAAGTGACCTCCCCGAGGCCGCACAGCTCCTAAGTGTGACTGAACTGGAAAGCTGGAGCGTCTGGTTCCAAATCCGTGCCAAGTTCCAGGAAACAACAGGAGAGGGGCAAGTTAACAGGTGAGAAAAGAGAGCTGGGACAGGCCTTTTCTGCGCCCCCTTTCCCTTCTCTTCCTCTGGAGCCTCCTCCCCACTTCTGTCCTGTCAGGTCATTGAGAAATATCTGTGCAAAGAATTACCAAAAAGTAACGTTTTCTGGACTTTGTTTCTGTTGATGGCAAAAACAAAACATGCTCATCTACAACGTGCGCAGAGCCAAAAGAAGGAAATTGGTGTGCCAAGGACTTGGGTTTTTTCCCAGTTTGATTTCTTTGGAAGGATTGAAGCTGGGTTTGCCCTGGTGTTGAGGTAAAAGGCAGATGCTAGAATCCAGCTCAGCTCTGCTGCTAACATGCTGTGTGGTTTTGAGCAATTCACTTCCCTCTGGGCCTTGATTTCCCCATCAGAGAAGCTGTGGTTGGCTTTGTGACCTTGCCTTGTGACTTTGGGCAGGTTAGGGAACTGCTCTGAGCCCAGTTCCCTCCTTTGTAAGACAGGCGGGCACAATGACATCTCCATGGTTGTCCTGAGGACTGGATGAGAGAGGTGAGGCACAGTGGCTGAGTGAGGACAAAGACCTGGCTCTGTGCCCAGGTTTGCTCATCTGTAAAATGGAAATATTAAAAGTACCTCCCCTTGGCCAGTTGCGGGAATTAAATGAGGTCATCTGTGATAAGTGCTTAGCTCACTGGAAGACATAGAACAGCATTGCTTAGTTGTCTCAAATTGGTGGAGGCCACGTCCACCCCCAGAAGTATGTTTTTGTTGTTCTGAGGGCTTGCCAAGTCCCCACCACTGCCCCCTTCTGTATTGATTTTCCCCAGCTGCCCTTCCCCCGCCCCGGAGCTGAAATCTCCTCTGGTGTCCTGGGATTCCTCCTTCCAGCCCTGATATTCCAGTCTTGGGCTAGGGGCTGGGTGTGGGTGGGAGAGGCCTCCATCTCCATGGAGACACTATGGGGGGGGGGTACCTAGGAAGAAGGGCATAACTAACCTGCATGCGAAATGAGCGGGGACCTTGGGACCCTCCAAAGAGCCTCCATCCAGAATGAGTTTCTACATTTGTTTTCCTTTGGTGGGGTTAGCGGGGAGGGCAGTTCCTCAACTGAAAAAGTTTTCAATCCCTTCCTCCTGGGGCCTAGGCTCTTTGGTGACACTGTCCCTCCTTCTCACCTCACTCTCTGCAGGCCACCGGAGTGACCGGCTGTTTGGAAGTGAAACACTGCCGAAGGAGGAGCGGAGAGTGAGGGCCAGGCTCCGCGGGGTCAGCTGTATCTGCACCCAGTGCTGAGTCTGTTCTGTGTGGGACTGCTGATGGTGGAGACGGTGTCCGGGGCCAGGGGCCCATTTACAGGGGCCCACATTGGCCCCCAGTTTTCAGCCTTAGGTGTGAACCAGACCCCCACGGAAGACGTGAGCATCCAGGTAGGAAGCTGGCATCAGGGGTGGGTGTATTCATCCAATCCACAAATATTTACTGAGCATCTACTATGTGCCAGGCACTGAGCTGAACCCTGGGGTATACCAGGGAACAGTACAGACAAAAATTCCTGCCCTCGTGGAGCTAACAGTCTTCTGGGAGGACAGATCATGGAGCAAACATGTAAATTTCAGGTGGTAAGATGTTAAGTGTTTTGCAAATAACCTCTTTGGGTGGGAGCTGTGATGGGGAGGGTGTATTTCCAAATATTTCAGAGTGGGCTTCTGTGAGGAAGTGACCTCTGAGCCAAGCCCTGAATGGAAAAAGTAAGTCACTTATAAAGGCATCTGGAAAAATCTGGAAAAAGAACATTCCAGGCAGAGAACAGCAAGCGCAAAGGCCCTGAGGCAACAACAAGCTTAGTATGTTCCTGGAGCAGTGAGGGGGCCAGAATGGCTGGAACAGGGTGAGTGAGGGGGAGAATATTAAGAGATGAGGATGGAGAGGTAGTAATGGCCAGATTACAAAAGGCCTTATAGGCTGAGGCTAGGAGATGATATTTGTTTACAGTAGTTGGGAGCCCATGGAGAGTTTCAGGCAGAGGGATCTCAAAGTCTGATTTATGTCTTCAGAGGAGCTCTCTGGCTTCCCTGGGGAGAATGGATTGAGAAGAGTGAGGGCAGCAGCAGGGAGATCAGTGGGGGGCTTTTGTAGCTATCTAGGTGAGTGGTGGTGGTTGTGGAGGATAGGAAAGGAATGGAGGGGTTTGAGATAAATGTTGGGGGCACAATGAGTGGGATGTACTGATGGATTAGAGGGAAGGGCATAGTGGTGGAAGAAAGAGAGGGGATTTCTGGGGGGATAGTGGTGCCATTGACTTGGATGTTCGGAGGGAGGAGACATAGGGACACTTTGGGGAGAGGCAAGAAGTCTTCTTCCCATAGGCCATTAAGACAGGCTGCAGGAACTTGAATCATGCCATCCTGATGTCTGTAAGCGGAGGACAGGTGACAGTGCATCCCAAGTTAAAGACTGAAGGCAGGGGACTGCTCACGATGACCCTCTGGAGCCCCACCTGCAGGAGGCTGGAGTTCTCGCCCTTCCCCATTCCCAGGAGAATGGAATAACAAACTCCTACCTCTTGAACTGAAGGGCTGAGAGTGTTTAGTGCCCATGCCAACTTTGTGGGGCTGCAGAGTACCTTCATGCCCATCTTCTGAGGCTGAACAGGTAATTACACCCATTTTACAGAAGGGAGGGTGGTTTATGGTTACTGTGGTTATAAAATTCACGGCTGCCTCTCCAAGGAGGGCAGGATTTTTCCTGGCGGTAGGAAAACCTCGGTAATCTGTGGCTTGTGCCAGATAATCTCTGAGTTACTGAGCACTCAGGCCAGCCCTGTGTCAAGCTCAACAGATTTTCCCCTAAACCTCCCAAGATGGGTATAAACGTCTCTGTGCTATAGAAGGGGGTGCTAAGGTTTAGGGAGGGGAAGCTGGCCAGAGCCAGGAGAGGGCCAACTATTTTCCTGGGTGTCCTTAGTGACTCAGGGAAGAGGATGAGAAAGGAATGGGGAGGAGGTGAAAAGTCATCCACCCCAGACTCAGAGCCGGGCCACTATAACTATGCCACCCCAGGGCAGGGAGCTGGGGGCAGGTGCTGGTGGGCTTTGGGGGAGGGCATGACCCCCTTGGGATGGGGGCTGATTTGGGGGCTGGAGGCAGATTTGCGGGACCTGATTTGCTGGCTCACTCTGCTGCCAGGGAATGGAGACAAGCTGGGGTGGGAGCGTCTCCCTGCATCCTCCCTGGCTGACCCTGAGGACGGGGAGGAGGGAAGGAGGGCAGGAGGGCAGGCAGGACAAGGAGACTACCCCTGCCCAGTTGGGCTGTTTCCCCAGGAGCTTCAGCTGGTAACTTTCAGGCAGAGCTGAGTCTGAAAACCACCTAGCAAGGGTGGGCTGTGTGCCCTTGGGCAAGTCACTTTGCCTCTCTATGCCTCCGTTTTCTAATCTGTTAAGTGGAAAGAATCGTACCAATCTCCTGGGTCTGTCACGAAGACTGAGTGAGATGGTGTCCAGCACAGTGTGTGGCAAAACAGTTATGAGGACCTACTGTGTGCCACGCACCGTGCAAGACTTTGGTGGGAGAGGTAGACACGAAACAAGTGTGTGATCCTACAAATAACTGGGGATTTCAAAACACGTAAGTGCTTGGAAGGAGAGGACCTGGAGTGATGAGAGTTTATAACAGGGGGATCCGCCTTAGGCTGGAGGCTGTTAGGGAAGCCTTCCTGGAGGAAGCATCTGGGGAGCTATGAATGTGGATTCGCGGGGCCAAAGAAGGAGTGGGGTATTGGGTTGAAGGGACGGCAGGTGCTGTAAGTACAGCGGGCTCGGTGTTGCATCTGCAGAGAGCCAGTGAGCAGGGTTGGGACGATGGCCAGGGGGCTCGGAATCCAGAAATCTCGCCTGCCATGTGGTGTTGGTGGGAGTTCAGAGAGGGCTGAAGGATCGTGGAGCTGCAATCTGACAAAGTTGTTTCTTTTGAAATTAGGGTGAAATATACATAACCTAAAATTCACCAACATAACCTAAAATTCTCCCACTGTGAACCCTTTCTCAGTGTGCCATTCAGTGGCATTAGCACGTTCACGCTGTTGTAGCTGTCACCACCATCCACCTCCAGAACTTTCCCATCTGACAAAACTGAGACTCCATCCCCAATAAATAAGAACTCCCCATTTCCTCCTCCCTGAGCCGCTGCTTTCTGCTTTCTGTCTCCTCTGTGGATTTGACTAGTCCAGGCACCTCCTGTAAGTAGGTTAGTGAGTGTTTTGTCTTTTGGTGACTCACTGATTACCCTGAGCATGCCGTTCTCTGTTATGGCGCCCCAGAAGGTTCTCCCATACTGTAGCGTGTGTCGGAACTCCCTTCCCTCTGAAGGCTGAATGATGGTCCGCGGTATGGATATGCCACCTCCGGTTCGTCCATGCGTCCACCAGGGACACTTGAGTTGCTTCTAGCCCTTCTGACTGTCGTGAATAGTGCCGCCGTGAACACGGGTGTGCACGTCTTCTCTCTGCGACCTGGCTTTCCGTTCTTTTTGGTATAAACCCAGAAGCGGATTTACTGGATCATAGGGTAATTCTATGTTTTTCCACTTTTATTGAGATAGAGTTGACATCCAGCGCTGTGCTAAGTGTGAGGTGTGCAGCATAACGTCTTAACGTACATCTATTGTGAAATGATGACAATAAGCCTAGTTAACATCTCTCCTCTCGGATAGATTTTAAAAAGAAAGGAAAAATGTTCTTTTCCCTCGTGATGTTCTAAAGGCTTTCATACTTACCAGACAGCAGCGCTCCCTGGTCACCGTGCGGTGCGTTACATCCCTGTCCTGGTGACTAACTCTCTTTGATTTTTCAGGAACTACCACGCTGTTGTGCAAGGCTCTGCACTATTTCACATTACCACCAACCGTGCTGGAGGGCTCCTCCCCATCCCAGCCCCATACTTGCTAGTTTCTGGCTTTGTTTGCTTTGTATAGTAGCTATTCTAATGGGTGGGAGGTGGTATTTACAAAGCCTTTAACAGAAAGTTTGAGAAGGAGGGGGGCACATTCCAAGCGGAGGACAATGCCTGAGCAAATGCATGACATGACAAAGGACAAATATCCATTACATAGAGAGCTTCCACAAGTCAATAAGAAGAAGCAAACATTGCAACTGAAAAAAAACCTGGCAGTTCAAAGACGGAATACAAATGGCCTTGAGAAGGGCCCTGAGAAGTAATCAGGGACTTGGAATTGAACAGCAAGAAGATTCCTACCACATCAGCCTGGAAAAGACTTGGTGGCAGGTGCTGGTGGGGAATCCCATTTGCCGGCTGGTGCCCGTGTGTATAAGTAAAGCTTGGCGGAGCATATTTCAGCAAAACCCATTGAATGGCTAAGATATTTGTCCCCCTGGAAGGGGCCCTGTCGGGGCCCTGCCCATATCCTTTGCACACTACCACTTTGGTGGGCTTCTGTTGACTTCTAGTGAACGGCACCTTTTTCCAGAACCCCCGTAAGCACAGTAGGCAGGAAGCATTTGCCTACACCGCCCGCCCCCCGGCGCCCCCAGCATCCTCACCTGATGACCGATCAGAGTTGGTATATAAATACCGCACCTCCCTTGCCCCTGGGATTACTAGCCCAAGGTGGGCGGTCCCAGCCCGGCCACGCTGCTTTCTTTCCCTTCCTTCTCCTGCTTCCCCATTGTGGTGGTTACATTCCATACACTTCCCAAATGCGTGCTTACTCACCCATAAGTCCGTGTCTCCGCGTTGCTTCTGGAGGAACTCAGACTAGGATGCACTCTGACTCAGCACTTTTACTTCTAGAATTCTCTCTTTCCTCATATGTACTCAGAGAGTCATGTGCAAGGATGTTTATTGCTGGCTGTACTGAAAGATCAGATACGCCGATATGCCCGCCGGTGGGGAAATATTACCACCACCCGCCCCCCCCCATATCATTCAGAGCATGAAATACTCCTCATGTTAAAAAGACTACAGGGAGTCCACAGGGAGTGTGATGGCTAAAGACAGGGTTCTAGAACCTCAATTCCAACCCTGTCTACCACTGGGTGGACCCCAGGACACTGCTTTAGTCTCCTTATCTGTATATGGGGCATGATAATGGGGTCTTCTTGCAAGACTGCGGGACAGATTAATTGAGATACATTTTAAGCTCCTAGCCCTGTGCCCGGCATATGGAAATTACTCAGCATGCTTTCACTTTGATCACCTTCATCATTCCGTGTACCAGTATATGAATAGGTGGCATATATGTGAAGTGGTAAAAGCAAATTATAGAAACAGGAGATTTAAGATGGATCTGTTTCTGTAAAACAAAAGCAGCTGTATAATAGGATGGACATACAAGGTCATTATGCCCGTAAGGGGACTCTGGAAACTGATCATGGTGGGAACTTTGGAGAAAGGTGGGATTGTGGAAGGTAGGGAAGAGAAACAAATTCATGAATTACTTGTGTAAACAAGTCTATTTAAGAAGATTAAAGCATGGGGTTGGCACTTGGAGGGTGTGGGGGGGCTTAGGGGTCAGGCTGAAGGAGGGCATCTTCAGCTACTTAGATGGTCCTGGTCCAGCTGCCCTCAGGGTGTCGACCCCTGACGTCCCCCTCTCTCCCTTCCTGCAGTGTCGTGACGTGTGTGGCCTGAACATCTCTGACCGCTGTGACTTCGTCCGGACCACCCCTGACTGCCTCAGCCAAGGGGGTTACCTGAACTACCTCGAGGGCATCTTCTGCCACTTCCCACCTAACCTCCTCCCTCTGGTCATCACCCTCTATGTGAGGCCCTGCCCCAGGGTGGGGGGCAGGGGCGGTGGTGAGCGGGGCTGGTGGGCCAGGCTGGACTTGACGCTCCCTTCCCTCCCCCCCGCCCCCGCACCCCTCTCCCAGGCTTTCTGGCTACTTTACCTGTTTCTGATTCTGGGAGTCACCGCGGCGAAGTTGTGAGTGTGGCCTTGGGCTCCCATCCAGCTTATAGATGGGAACGGAGTCCCTGGGAGGTTTGACATTGGGGTGACCCCGTGTTTAGAGGGAGGACAGCCGCGAAGGCACACCCTGTTTGCTTTCCCTCCCTAGTTTCTGCCCTAACTTGTCAGCCATTTCCACCATGCTCAAGCTCTCCCACAACGTGGCAGTATCCTTTGGTCCAGGGCCTGCGCCCCGGAGGGTGGGAGGGCGGTTAGAGGGGAGGCTGGGAGACCGCGTGGCGGCTCACGGCCCCGGGACAGGTCTGGCCAGGCTGGGGCCCCTGCTCTGTGTCCCCTTGACGTGCTCCCCCCATGGCGTCACCTTCCTGGCCTTCGGGAACGGCGCACCCGATATCTTCAGCACCCTGGTGGCTTTCTCGGATCCGCGCACAGCCAGCCTGGCCTTCGGGGCGCTGTTTGGTAAGAGCGGCCCCGGGCAGCTG